TTAGATATCTATTAAACCACATGACCGTTTCAAACGACAATTTGAAGAGTTGATTACATTCATATAATCTGTTGTTCGTGCCAATATGAGAGCATAACAATAAGTATATTAAAATTTGCCATTAAACATAGAGCAAGCTTTCTTTCAATGAGCATATGCAAAACCAAACCAAAGCATAAAAATGATCATAACAGTCAAAAGAACATGAATTCTAGCTTATAGCTCTGATACCAATATAAGATTTAGAGGATAATCATCAAATTGGAAATGCATAATTAAGCAAATTACCGACTTGAAGCCATCCAGGATCGTATTTACCGTCGGCTAGATTCACGTACTCCACGACGTTCATTGATGAACTCCAGATTACGATGGCGAATCGAAAGTAAGTTCATCTCTCACTCTATAGTTTTTGGCTCTCACTCTCTAGTTTTTGGCTCTCTTTGATATTTTTTTCTACATCATTTCAGTGAGATACCCATGGAGTTTTAGAAGTCATTTTCTCATAGAGATTCTCCTAGGATATGGATATATGTAGGGAGTGGGTTAGTTACTTTTGGTTAAAGATTAGTGGCTACTAACCACTACTCATGGAGGGAGTTATGACAATAATGAGCGTAACTAGTAACTACATCTAGGCGTGTCCATCTAGGTCGGTCCGGCCCGAAAATCCGGCCCCGGGCCGAGCAAAACCGGAACCCGGACCCGGACCCGGACCCGGGTACCCCGGGCCGGGTTCCGGGCCATCGCATCACAATAGATAAGTACATCCCAACTAGGTTTTTTTAAATTTCTTTTCTTTTCTTTTTTGATAAAAAAGTACTAAAAATTAGTTTAATATTATTATATTTTCATATAATTATGTATTAGTATATACTTACAAATTATTATGTAACTATATATTATATATACATATATTATATGTAAAAATATTGTATATATTTATAAGTTATAACTTGAGAGAGAGAGAGAGAATCGCATAAGTAGCCGTTTCCCATTGGGCCAATGGGGAAGAAGTAACCGTTGTAATATACTATACTTATATATATACTTATATACTAAGAGAGAGAGTATATGCACACACACACACATATATTATACATATATAAGAGAGAGTATACTTATTATAAGAGGGAGTATACATATATAAGAGAGAGTATACTTATATATACTAAGAGAGAGTATATTAGTATATATATACACACACATATATTATACATATATAAGAGAGTGTATACTTATATATACTTATATAAGAGAGAGTATACATATATAAGAGAGAGTATACTTATATATACATATATACTAAGAGAGAGAGAGAGAGTATATACATACATACATTATACATATATAAGAGAGAGTATTCTTATATATACTTATATAAGAGAAAGCATACTTATATATACTTATACATATATATACTTATATACTAAGAGAGAGTATATATATACACACATATGACATATTATACATATATAGAAATATATTATATATACATATATTATATACTAGTATAATGCACGTGCTTTGCACGTGAACATACATATTTTTAAGTTTTGATTTTTTTATTGAATAGTAAAACTATGTGTTAATAAATAAAATTGTGTAATAAGATTTCTCCCTTTGTGAAAAATTAAAAAAATTAAAACAACAAATAAAATAGCAGAAAAAACACTTAATTAATACATGTAAAAACAAAAATTGTGACTACACGTGAGAAAGTCACATAATTTAAACATTTTATGATAGTATAGTGCACGTTCAAAGAGCATACTTATTTTATTTTTTGTTTAAGTGATAAATTATACGATAAAACTATGTATAAATAACTATATGATTAATTATTATAGTTTGAATAATTATTATTTATTCACAATTTATTAAAATAATTATGAAATATAAACTATTATTTTGTTTACGTACTAAATGTTTTTAAAGGAAAAACATACATGTCTTGCCCTCGAATGCTATTATTTTATAGTATAATATAAAATAAGAATAGTTTATATCTTATAATTCTAATACTATTATTTTTAAACTGTTATTTCTATATATTATTATAATAATAGTATTTATGTTTTGATTTTGAATGCATATTTATGATAAATAGATTTTTTTTCTTTAAAAACATAAATACTATTATTTTGCATGTGCTTCTATATATTATTAAATTAACTTTTCAAATGCTTTGTATTTTCCTCTAATACCAAATAATACTCCAAAGAAAAAAAGGTTAAGTCTTTATCATCACATTGAAATCAATTCCTGAAACAAAAAAAAAAAATCAACATTCAATCAATGGATCATGCCGATAACTCAAGGTCCTGCCCAGTAGTCCGAAGGCTAACATCATCATCCTTAAAGACAGTCGATAAATGAGACGAAGGCACTGTTTGGCAACAAGAGATTGTGTCTTATCTAAGAGCTGTTTGGTGACAAAAAATAAGAGGAGATTATTTTGGAGATTGTGTCTTTTGCAAATAGCTTTTGGAAAGTTACCTTAAGTAGCATTTGTCTTTTGGAAGGAGCTGCCAACTTTTTTCTTCCGTTTTTGCCCCTAATAATTCTAATTTTATATCAATAATATTGCATGATCTTTTTAGTCATTTAACAAATTTAAGCTAGCTGTACAGCTACTTTTACCAAACAGCTCTAGTCAATTAGCTAGCTACACAGCTATCAGCTTTCAGCTATAATTTCACAGCTTTCAGCTAGCTTAACAGCTTTCAGCTAGCTTAACAGCTTTCAGTTATAATCTCGCAGCTTTCAGCTAGTTTTGCCAAACAGAGCCCAAATAGAGGTTTATCGAGTTTGTTGGCGAGAGCTCGTGGGCTATTTGCGAGAGTGAAAGAAAGAGAGATTATGAGGGCAAGAGCTTAATATTGGAGGAGAACTTATTTTTCATGATAGATGAGATATTTGTGAGGGTAGAAGTAAGAGGTTGTATTTATAGATTGATTGTTTGGAGGTTATAAGATGGAGGAGAGGAAGAGGTTTGAATTAAGACAACACTTCATAAGTAATTATGAGGTGTTAATAGGTTGAGAAAAGCTTAATTAGTGGAGTTCGAAAGATTATGAAGACTTTTAGAAAAAAAAAAGGTAATGAAAAGTTTAATTATCCTTATTGAGCTAATCTTTATCCAAATACAAACAACATATACATATAACTTTCGCTATAGAAATGATTGAATACATCAATTCAATTTTTATTGCAAGCGAATAAGAATTTGAATTCTCATAATTAGGTGTAAATTAACGTTAGTAGAGAGAGACTATTATTAAATGAAACCCTTAAGCTTCAATTAACGTTATGCATTCACCTTTCAATTCCTCATGTAAATTAAAGATCATCCCTTTGAATAACCACCTAGCTATTGTCCTTTTTGACCTCAAATAAGGTGCATTAATATGTAGCGCATATAAGCACATGTATTAGATATATAGTATTATTTGTTGTCAATTGATGTTATTATTGAGGATATTTTTGGGAAAAAGGTTATAACGTTGTAATAATATTATGTATTTATATTATTTTGAAAAAAACTAAATAATAGTATTTTATCATAATTCATATTTTATAGTATACTATATATATATTGAATCAACGTACTAATAGTATAATGTATTTATGTTTTGCTTTAGTGTAATATTTTTCTTTAAAAATAATAGTATTAGAATTAAAATATTGAATCAAAACTATTATTTATGTTTTGCTGTAGTGTAATATAAACTATGATTTTGTTTACGTACTAAATTATGATATGATAGTGATAATTAGTGAGATTTATAAGAGACTAATATATTAATGGGAGTTTATAATAATGCATTTAACTGAGGGTTATGTATGTATGAAGTATGGTTTATGCATGGATGTATGTGTTTTAAAGGGCATTTTTGGAAGAAATGTTTTAACATGCCAACACACTTTTATAATAGTATTAGATATTAGATATATATATTATACATATATAAAAATATATTATATATACATATATTACACATATTATATATATTTATATATACATATATTATACATATATAATACATAAAAAAAATAAAAAAAATAAAAAAATTTACTATTCCGATCAGGGCCGGGCACCAAAGAGCCGGCCCGGGCTCGGCCCGAAGCCCGGACTTGGCCCGGGTTTCCGGGCCGGGCCTGGGCCGGCCGGCTTTTTGGACACCCCTAACTACATCCCCATATCCTACAAATACACATAGTAAAAATGACACAAACTTTTTTCTAATTTCTCAAATTTCTCACACCCTAAGTAATTGCATGGGATAGACTAATTTTCTCATTTCACTGACTTGCAACTTATAGTTTTATAAATATATACACAGTTGAAAATTTTAGAATATCACAATAGCCAAACGGAGAATATTTAGTATTGTAATAACCATCTCATAAATAGCAGTAACAAAAAAAAAGTAGGGATAACATAAGTGAAAAATTAGTAACCATTTGAGGTATTTAAGTGCCAATTAGCATAATCGTGCTCGAGTCCCCGTTTAATAATTTTTTACTATTCTTCAGGTAAAATTTAGATCCTGTCACTTTTGGAACCTTGAACCGACTAAGGCACTGTTTGGCAACAAAAAAAAGTGTCTTATCTAAGAGCTTGTGCCTTATTGACTTGGTCAATAAGCTAGTAGAGCTGTTTGGTGACCAAAAATAGGAGGAGATTATTTTGAAGATTGTGTCTTTTGCAAGTAGCTTTTGAAAAGCTATCTCAAGTAGCGTTTGTCTTTGGGAAGAAGCTACTAATTTTTTCTTCCGTTTTTGCCCCTAATAATTCTAATTTTATATCAATAATATTGTATGTCTTTTTTAGTCATTTAACAAATTTAAGCTAGTTGTACAGCTACTTTTGCCAAACTGTTCTAATCAATCATCTAGCTACACAGCTAACAACTTTCAGCTACAATTTCACTTAGCTAGCTTTTTCAGCTAGTTTTGGCAAACATGGCAAAGCCATCGAAGCTGCCCAAGCCAAGTTCTTTTAACAACCCGACCAGCTTCTCCGAGAAGCAGCCGACGCTCAAGTGACCATCACGCTCCCACCTTTCTTCGTCAGTCCGCGCTCACAATAAACCCTATTAAAAAAAAAGAAAGGAGAAAAAAAAGGAAAAAGAAAATCCTCACTCTCTCATGTCGACTCCTTCTCAGTCCAATGGAGATGACGCCTTCAGCCTTCGGATCGTCACTCTCGATTACTACATGTCGCCGCCGATCCCCGATCTCGGCCTCTCCTACAGCAGCTTCCAAGGTTCTCCTCTCGATTCCTCAATCTAGGGTTTCCAAAGCCGTGAATTTTAGGGTTTATGTATGATTTTGGAGGCTTTTGCAGGTAGAAGTGTGGAGGAGGTCCCTGTTATAAGGATTTATGGCTCCACTCCCGCGGGACAGAAGGCTTGCCTTCACATTCACCAGGTCAATGTTTTTTGAATTTCTCAATTTGGGCGGGTTGATGTTGTTTTGGTAGTTGAAGTGCAAGTTTTGGTATCTGGAAGTGACATTGTGCTAAAGTTTAGAATTTGATTATACCTTTTGTTGTTTCACTATCATAGAAGTTACTTCCACTTTAGGTGACCTAGACGGTCGAGAGGTTCCAATATGTCACACACTGTCTTGGGTTCAATTCCTTGCTAGATTATTAAAAAAAATGAAAAGAAAGAAAGAATTACGAAGTTACTTCACCTCATTTATTATTATTATTCCAGGCTATAGCTTATGATCCTTCATAAATGGGTAAATTTCACGAATCCCGCTTGAACTTCTTTTTGTTGGTGGTGGTTTTTTTTTGGGGTGACCCTGTACTTCATTAATCAGAAAAAAGAACCCTTGAACTTACAAAAAACTGCGTCAACTGTTGGTAAGTACCATAACATAATTAATGTGTAGAGTAAAAAGTCTAAAATGTGAGCTGCATGTTCTTCTCAATGAATGCTCTTCGTTCAAAAAATTTCATTCAATGACCCATAATTATTACTCTTTCCGTTAATGTTGTATGTTGTGTTGTTTTGTGGTTTAGATTATAAGGAATATATGCAAAATTCCCACTTTTATCCAAATGCATGCCGGCTAGCCATTTTGGTCACCATTATGCGTATAGGAAACAAATTTTTGGGGGACTCTTTTAAGTTCTCTTCGTATTGATAAAGTCTTTATCCTGTTTTGGATGTGACTCAGGAATCTAAGGTCTCTTAGGTCCTAGTTTCTCTTCAGTATGTTATGAGGTGTTTTTGTGATTAACTAAGAAGACAGATTGCTTTATATGATTTCACATCCTAGGTGGTGAGATAACTTGAAAGTCATAAAATGAAACTGGGAAAGCTTATACCGATTCTAATCATTGTTACTCCTTTAACTTGTGTGCTTATGATTCTCATAACGACATCCCTTTCTTGTGTTTGGATTCCATTAGGTTGCGTTTGGATTTAAAATCAAATCCTTAAATCCAGTTTCTTGTGATTCTTATCGGACGGTGCCTGCTCTAATATTACTTCCCTATCAGGAAATTAGGAAAGCTTCACCATCAGAAAGCTGCTTCCTCTTGTTATGTACAAAAGACTTCAAGGACGCCATTACTTCAAAAAATGCCAAATGCATATCAGGTTCCCATGATCTGACTGCTATATCAGTTACATTGACCAGAGAACAGACATCAATCTCATTGAGGCCACCAGAGCGATGCACAAATTATGCATTCTGCATGTCAACTAGAGCCACCTTTTGCACCAGGCTTACTTTCTTCAGAATACTCCTATAGATTGATCTCACTCTTTTAAGATCAATTTGTGTGGAATGTTTATCCTTGTTTAAGCAAAGCTTGAGATGAGGGGCACTGAGAGATATTGAGAATTTAAGCTTCTTGCAACCAGTGGGGGCAATAGATATTGTGCCTTCCGTGCGCTGTGGCCCATCAGCAGAAACATTAGTTATTGTTTCCCCACCTTCTGAACCATAATTTACACTCTTGGGGTCTGCAATGACTACATCCTCTACAGTCGCATTACCCCAATAATTTACTGTGCATTTTTCAAGATTTACCTTCGAAATTTGTGCCCCTTTAGAAGTTGTTTTGCTAGAATGCACTTTGATCTGTACAGTTTTGTTTACCATAACTACCTAAACTTTTTATCAGAGCTTTAAAGGACATCAAGGTCAAAATTAGAGATGCAGCATGATGAAAACCAAAATATACTCCCATGTGAGTTACAACAACGGATAAAATCAATTCCCACTTATTAGGATCGTGTTTCTCATGCAATTCTACTCCTTGATGTACCAAGTCGATGCTAACCCGCTCAATGTGCTGTAAGGAGCCTGAGTTGATTTCTAAAGAGAACAAGCTTTCTTTCAAGCACTCCTGATATTTGAAATTCCATTAGGTTGCGTTTGGATTCGAGGATTCAAAATTTGTGATTAACTAAGGAGACTGATTGGTTTATATGATTTCACATCCTAGGCGGTGAGATACTTGAAAGTTGTAAAATGAAACTGGGAACTGATTCTTATCGTTGTTACTCCGTTAACTTGTGTGCTTATGATTCTCATAACGACATCCTTCTTGCATTTGGATTTCAATGACAGGAAACCGATATTTGAAATTCCATTAGGTTGCCTTTGTGTTCAACGATTTGATTTTAAATTCTAGAATTTGAAATTTCAATTCCAATTCCATTGTTTGGTAATCCTAACAATTTCAATTCTAGGATTCTCGATTCCAAATTCATTGTTTGGAATGTCTTAGAATTTCAATTTTACAATTTTCAATTTATTGTTTTGCAAAAAGGATTTAATTGCTAAACCAGAGTTGCCCATC